TCGCGACTCGGTTCGTTTCTTTCGGCCTCCGCGTTTCGCCGGAAGTTGGCGCGCAGCTCCGCCAGCTCCTCCGCGGCGGAGGAGGCCGCGTTGGCGGCCCCCGAGCACGCCGTGGCCGCCAGGATCTCGGGCGCTCGGGCCGCCGGCTCTCGGCGAGCGACGGGAGGAGGTCAATGGTCAGGGCCTTAAATTTGAAGGGAGGTCAGGGTCCCATCCCAGGCTTCCCAGGTTACTGTGAATGGAACTCTGTCCTCCACAGGTGTCCTGGGATCTGTTCCGTTTTGGGGAAGGAAAGATTGGAGGCCTTTTTGACAGACCCTCCTCATAATTTGGCACGTACACCCGGCCTCTCGTTTAACCCAAAAGCGCAGCCAAAGTCATGGGCCCAGTTACTTGCTTGTTTGCAAATGCGTTGTGTGCGTCTTCTTCCTTCCGTAGTTTGCGGCCTGTGTATGCGTTCAACTTCAGAACCAAATGGGGGGTTTGGGTGCGCCCAAACTTGGTGGTCTCCAAGACCTCCAGTTGATTTCTGGCGACAAAAGGGGACCGTGTCTTTGGCTGGTTGATATCAAGTAGGTTTCACCCGCAGGATATTGGAGTCCCTGCGGCCAAAACAAACAGGATGAACTACGGATGAGCCATGACAATTGAACGAAGGCAAACCCCACTGGAGCTCGGGGAGTCCCGGTTATTCCCCCCTCGGCGCCCGGGCCACGGAGCGCAGCGCCGAGCTAGCGGCCACACGGTTCATGGAGGCCGCCTGTGCTCGACCGAACGAATCGGCCTGGAGGGATCCGGGTCGAAGTGCGCACACGCACAGGAAAGACACACAAAAAGGCAACTTCGTTGGCATCTTGAAAAAGCCTGTGGTGCGGGTAACATTGTGTGTTACAAAGAACCGCAGCAACTTTGGGGTTTGAAGGGCCCAAATGAAGGTAGCCCTAACTTTGCGTTTCTGGCCCCCCAACCTCCAGCACTACACAAAGAACTCGAATACGTATTTGAGAAAATTAAAGGTTATAAGTGCGGCTTTGGGCGTTTCAGAAATATTCAATCAGAAACACTCGAAGCTAGGCCGCTCTCATCCAAGCTTTTGGAGACAGCTTTCCTCATTTTGGCCCACCAGCAGGCGAACCCAAATCCAGCTCTCTTGTCTAGGCCGATCCCGGAAGCAACACACCCAGATTCCATAAAGGGGGGCGTCCCGCAGAATCAGCAATAAACAAGGGGTTGGCCTTATAAGCATGTTTCCAACCAGGTAATTCCAGAGGACAACCCTTCAAAAATACATCAACAAAAGTGGCTTTGAACAGGATTTTGTCGACCCCTTCTCCGCGAATTGTCCACCCGCATGCCAACCAAACCCAAGCTGGGCAAATTGTGATAATTCAAACGTCTCCGAGAAAGCTGGAAGCCCCAAGTAAGGAACCATGGCCCATGGTCCATGGGTGAAACCAGTCGCAAACAAAATCGATTCAGCATGGGCGGAGACGCCAAAGCGCGTCGCCCCAAACCTAGCCTGGGCCTCATGGTTCACCCCGAGCATGGCGACCTGCTCCGACAATGCAGCTTGATGTAACCGCTTTACCTGTTGAAACCCAGACTAAAAATAGTTGAACTGGAAAACTACAAGTTAAAAAGTCGGCGTTCAAGAAAACACCAGGTCTCGATCAGGGCCTTTGCGTGGCTTCAGGGTGTTTTGACACCGAAACCCTGTTTTGAACAAATACCAACCAAAAGAAAATGGAAAAAAACAAAAACAACACCTGCAGCTGACAAGGGTAATTATGATTGAAGGGGTTCCCCGTCCCTGCATCGATTTTAGCCCAAATAGGCTTCCAAAGCTGCCTGTTAAAAGCAGGCCCGTCGGCATGGGAAGCAGTCAGTTTCAATCAGACATCGAAGGTTAGCCAACAAAGAAATATTCCAGGAACCAAACATGTGTATATATATATATAGTACCCCCTCCTAAACCCACTCGCCAAAAGAATGTCACGGTATTTACTGTACTTTTCGGTGATTCCCGCACCCTTTTCAGGTACCCCACAGTTGAGCATCTAACTGTGCCTGCATCTGCACATTTGACTGTGACTGTATCCGCCGAGAAGATCTAAAGCGCCAGGGTCAAAAGGAGGAATGACACAAAGCACCTACAAGAAAATAGAGACATGAGCCCACTTCAGGTCACATCTGTCTAACGCAGGCGCGCTTTTATTCTGGCCCAGTCTGGCTCGTACGACCAGCATCCCAAGATTTCTCCGTACACCAACAACAATATTTCAAGGGTATGATGTCCACTCCTGACAAAAAAGATATATTTGGCCTGCAACACCTGCCTTGCAAAGGCGCAAAGCATACACCTGAAACAATGGCGGGCATCCTTCTCATGATCACGCACATTGACCATGGCTTCTTCATCACACATTACCAAGCAAAACTCATCGACTGGACTTCATGAATCCCCAACGAACCTTCATCATGAGGCCCGAGCTCCTTTGACAATCATAGCTCAGTTGAATTTCTGCTAATGGCCACGTCTTGCACTCGCACGACCTCAACTTTTTGCAGAGCCATAGTGACTCAGAGCTGCAAGGAACCAACAAATAATTGGCTTACAACCTCCCTCTTTGGAAGACAAACCCAAGCCGCCCACTTCTGCCCCTCTCACCTCTCCAACTGATCGAGTGCCTCTGCCCGCCTGCCTCCTATGAAGGGATCAAAGGCCCATAATGTCGGCTTTTGGCACTCACAAAGGCTGTTCAAAGGCCCCAAAAACCGGTTGGGTTGTAGTGAGGCGCCCTAAATACGCTTGGTCTCCTTTTGATTTCTGGAGAACAGCATCTAAATTAAGACATACATTTGCATAGATGGCATACACTACTGTTTGTGCTGAGTAAAAATGAAAGATGTATCCCAACTATTCTCATAAGTGTGCTTGCTCTCTTTCTGAGATGCAATCGGTTAAGCACCAAATTGGGGGCGGTGATTTGGGTACCCCCATGTCCTTCCCACATCAGCAGTAGACTTCCAATATGTTCGCAAGTTGTTCGTATGGACTTCTCTGAGCCGCTGCGAAGCTGTAGCCGCGGTGGCTCAGTGGCGAGCAGCGAGCTATATGAAGGCGAGTTCCCGCGGAGCACTTCGCGGTCTGCATTGCGTAGAGTAACTACGTGTTGTTGTCCCGGTTTCCTTGCACAATGAAATATTATCTTTTGACCTTGGGCCTCATCTAAATGGGGAGTACGTAAAGGGTACGTTTGGGCATGTACTTCGGGCACGCGTGGCTATTTCTCCAGCAGAGTAACTTGTCCAAGCGTCTTTGCAATACACCCTGGGATCACAGCCATTCCGGGTGACATATACCAATTGAACACATCAACGAACGCGCTTTGGGCTTCTCAGGGCAATCCACAATCACGGGCTTCGAGCAATCATCAGAAGAGGAGGGGCAGGAAACACATGTCTGCGCGAATGGAGCAAAACGAAACCAACCCAGAAAAGAATGAACAAAACAAGAAGAGACCTCAAGCAATCGGCAAGGTTCTGTTTGTGAGGTCCTTTTCAAACACCTTGCGCAAACTCATTCATTTACTCATCAGGGGGTGTCGCTAGAAGAAACCAACCTCCACTGAAAAGGTACCCTCTGAGACTGGGTGGAAGTGAAGATGCCCCCTATCAATCCGAAGAAACTCAACTTTTAGGGTCGGGGTGCTGGGTTAAAGGGGAACCAACTCCAGGGTGTGGGGCTACCTTGAGGCAAAAAACGCACTTGACTTCGAAGCCGCAGACATTTGCTTGGCTAAGCTCCTGCCACAGCTGTCTTGGTCAGGCCACTGACGGGAGCCTCAGGCTTCGGTCTGTCACATGCTTGCCATGGCACGGCTTTGTTGTAGCTGTTCTGGTCTGGCCACTTGCGGGAGCCTCAGGGCTGCGGACCGTCACGGCTGTCAGTTCATAGGCTCTGTCGCAGCTGTTTGTTGAAACACCACAGCCGTCGTGCTGCACCGTGCGGATGGATCCTATGTCACTTACAATCTACCACTCCCAAACCAGTCGGGTGGGGAACAAACACCCTGAAGCCTCCGTGCCGCTCCTTTCTCATGCGGCACTGGGTCATTAGCCGTGAGACAGCTAGAGCTTCCGCATCCCTGTCAGATCCTGTGATGTTCAGCATCGGACAATCTGTGCATGTCTCAAAACAAGAAACAAGTGGTAAGCGACCTACAATCAACATGCAACCTGGAGGGAGATACCTGGTTTGCGTTCAAAGTGCGCATCTGTGTAGACGTCAATCCAGCGCAGGCCGTTGGGCCCGTGGGGAAGAGATTTCCTGCAAAATCGTCCGTTTGCGCAGCATAAGAAGGAGTCCTCCTTTCAAATAAATGTTCTGAAAGGATCCAAATGATTCAATGCTTAGCAACTGAAGTTGCCTACAGCTTTGCCCAGAGCGCCAGTGTCTGTGGCAATCTGATGCATAAAGATCTGGGTGACTTATACTAGCCCGCCAGCCTGAAACAAGGGAAGCTCAAGAAAGGCCCCTTCAATTCTTTGTTACCAGTAAGATTGAATGAGTTTGCCCCATATGTCTGGTAAGACTGATGCAAGCTGGCTGGCCTGTGATCCCCCAACACATCAAGCCATCTTGTGAGCTGTTCAGAACATCATAACTTCGATGGGGTCACAAAGGTCCAACCCGTATTTTCTAGGTTTTTTTAGACAAGTGCCAAGCAGAATTGCCAGGATGTTTGAAGATGCATTGCATCTGACAAGGACGGTGTCAGCTTGCTGCCTGTCCGACAAGCGAATCTGTACAGCGTGTCTAAGCCAGGCCTTTTGACCCCGATTTGGCAGAATGCGACCGGATCCCTTCAAGAGGGCTTCTGCACTTCTGAGTCCATTTTACACAAGGGCGATAGGTGGATCATTCTTGAATGATCCCCTTTTTGGGTGCATTTAATCATGGAAAACAAGGAGGACATCAACAATATTTCCAATAGAAGGACCTGAATAGGGAAATCTGTGAAACCGGGGTTCGAAGGAAACGCTGGCCTAACGCGCCCATGCTTCACACGAAGCCTTCGACAGATTTGACAGCCGCATCGAGCAACGCCACAACGAGACTGGCCAACGTGACACCCGAAACTCCTTTCCACTCGCAAACCTGGGCAAGCTGGTAACATGGGGCAAAGTTGTAGTAGAGCTCGTTTTGCGCAAAGCATTTCATGATTTATGTTTCCCCCAAGGGTTGGCGCTCTGACAGGGAGTTTGAGATCCCATTTGCGGTCGGCGTATTGGAACCTGGGTCCTCCAAGCCCCACGACCCAGGTGTACCGTGCCTTGTGTTCACAAGGGGACATTGGACGCCCCCACAACTTTTGCTTCGACTAATGAATCCTCAGGTAAAGGATTCTCATCATGGGTGGAATCACTCGTCCCACCAATCGGTGAGCTCGGAAGAAACATTGTCCCAGTTCGAGCTGCGAATCTTTGCAGCTCGTGGCGATGTAAGTCAAAAGGTTTGTGCCAGGGTAGTAGACAGCCATCCGTGTGAGCTCGAAAGTCCACTAAAAGGCATGTCTAGCTCTCCCCCATTTCATGGAGCTTGGCGATTTGAAGATCTGCCCAAAGGATGCTGGGGCTCTTGCACAACCCAGCCCTCCTCAAACATCAGGGCTTGCGCATCCTCAAAATAAGCCATAAGGCCAAACTGGGCGTCCAGCTTTCGGACCTGGAATCATCTTTGCGTCAACTTCCGTTTGGGGAAGCAACGTCTCCAGGCTGTTCCCCCATACCTCAGCTTTTGCCCAGCTGAACATTACATGTCAGTCTGGATTCCGGCGCGTATTGTAAAAATCCAACTCATGTCATTTGAGAGGTCCCCGCTGTAAAACGAGGGGTGATCTTCAACCTGAAGCTCAGGATGGTCCTTGTGAGAAATCTGCCTTGGTGGGAAAGATTGAGTTCCATACCATTGTGGGACACATGAGGAGGCCACCAAAGCATAGACTTTGAGGAAGCCATTCCATATATGTGTCCAATTTCCAACCGTCTCAAAAAGAGATAAAACTTGGCAACAAAGCCTAGCATGGACTGAGAAAGTTGGTCATCCAACTTTCTAGCTGTGGAGGTTGGTCACCCTGTAAGAAGATAGCCCACCGAGACCTGGGTTGCAAGAACCGACCTGCTTTAGCCAACTGGCTTGCGGTTTGGCCTGGAACCGGGGCCCCAAGACATCTGATCAGGGCGGTGTAAGGCTAAAACACATTCCTCTGTTTGTCAATGGCCACAACTGTGATCCAATGTACTTGTTAGGCACTAGGCCCTGTGGGATCAAACTTAAAGAGCTTGACCTCTAATTGCCAGCAAACGCGCCTTCCCTCCCGAAACGAAGACCAGCCTGATGGTCGGCGGCAAGGTTGGCTCAAGAAACCTGCGGTCGAATGGGCGCAGCTTGTCGCACAAAGCATAGGGCGCTCCTGGAATGCTTGTTGCTCCTTCTGGCTTCCCTTCAAACCCAACCAACAGATAAACCAAAAAAGGCCAACGAATGAGCAGGTTGCGAGGAGAAGCGGGTTGTGGGTGGAATCCAGATAGCAAACGCCAGTTGCTGGACGACTGCTAGTTTCCATTAGTTGCCGCCTTATTTTGGACATGAAAACCATGTTGGAATATTTGGCATGAAGCTTTGTTGCAGCCAACCCCCTCTAGGGCAATGTGGTATGCTGCAACGTAGGCTTGGGCGTTGGCCTTGGCTTCATTCAGCCGCTTCGATAATTTTTGGGCCTGATGCCAGGACGGCCATTGTGAGCCGATGCTTGGCAATCCTCGCAATGTGGTCAGCGCAAAGAACACATACGTGGAAGTGCGGTGCGGGTCGCAACGCGCGAGCCACAATCGCTGAGCGCAGAAATCCTATCTGTAGATTCTGAGCAGAAACGGAGAATTGCTACGGCCGCATGCATGCAAAATGCTCAATCCTTGCCACGTACACCAGGAGAAAAGAGGAGCGCGCACATTTAAGGAATGGTGCAGGTGAGGCTGCGCCGGGAGAAAGCCCATATTTCGTCGCTGTCTGCTTGCTGTGACGAGCTATTCTGTTGAAGAGTCAATTTTGTACTTATTGCAAGAGCTGTAGGCGCTGCCTTTCTGTGGAAGACGGGTAGGAAAATCGCAAATAGAGAATCGAGAAAACACGTGGACGGAGCTTTCAAGCGAATATCCCTTGTCGTTGGATTGCCAAATGGTTGACATGGTTGCGAAGTTGCAAGTTGTGTATATCAAAAGGTTCAGATCCGCTTGAGGCATAGTGTGCCTCCGCATACATTTCCATAAACCACTGAAGGTGTTCCAACTCTTTCGGTGTGTTTTACACGCGGTGTTAGCGTGCCTCCAAAAGAACTTGCTTCATAGGGTCCTGGCTACTTGATCTGATAATGTGTCCTGGGACATTTTCCGCAACTTCCACGTTTCCGAAAAATCCGCCGCATCCGCACCGTGTTGGTTTCTTAGAATGCCTTTTAATGACACGTTAGTCATTGTTCTGTCGACGCTGGTAGGAGGCACACGAAGAATTCTGCAATACCCTTTTATTTGAAAAGCATTCAGCCTATTAAGCTCAGCTTGGTTGAATTGAATTATTTCTAGCCCATATAAAGTCTGCTTCGTATAACAGCGTGAAATATGTGCTGTTTCCAATTGATTGAGGTTTGCGCCTTGTTCCAAAATAGTTTCAATCGATTGCAAGTGCGCGTCGAATCTGCAATGCTGTTCACTATTTGCTCTCTGTAGTCAACAGCATCTGTGAGCAGAGTGCCTAATATGTTGCGGAGTGCTCTCTGGAGACCATGGAACCATCAATCTGAAACTTGATTTTGGACTGTCTTCGGTTAATAGCCAGGTTCACGAATTTGTCCAGGTTTAGCTCCATGTTGTAATATTCTGATTAAAATTTGCATTTCGTGTAAAGTAGGTTGATACGGTGCGTGTAGTCACCGCGTCTCGTCGGCGTATAGAACTTCCGTGTATTCTATGCTTTTAATGGGTTCCCGTTGCTTGGGTGTCTTTAATTTATCCTTAATGTCTCTAAACATGGCAGACATGAGCAAAACAAACAAGTAATTAGGGCGAAAGCGGGCATCTCTGTCTGATACCTGAGTGTTTAGTCAAATATTGGGACCCCTTCCTTCGGCAGCAACTCCGGTGTACATATGCAGTATGCATCTGAGCATATTCGGCGGTACTCTTGGCCGCCTTAAGACTTGAAGAAGTCTTGTCTGGTTCACTTTATCAAACGCCATCTTCCAATCTAACAGAACGATAGCGAGGTTTGCGCCGGAGCGCTCTGAGATGTCCAAAGGTCGACGGGTGATGAAAACTGCCTGGGCTGTTGACTTGTTTAATGACTCTCTTGCACCAACGCGTCATAGGTTTGGGTCATCCGATGTTTGATCAATCCCGCAGGGATCTTATGGAGTGTTTGGAGAATAGGCCTGTAGCTTGTAGCATCTCCCTTTTTGTACATGGATACTATATTTGCGAGCTTCAGGCTGACTGGGTACGCATCGTTCTCAAGGATTCCGTTTCATATATCAAGTACGAGACGATACTCCTGTTGTCGTCAGTCATCCATTTGAGCAGCTCTGCTTCGCAACTGTTAGGGCCTGGTGTTTTGTTGTTTTTCTGCGCGGTGACAACCTTGTTTAGCTCGCCAAGCGCGAGGTTTGTGTCTATCCTGGCGTTGTCTGCATCGTACAACAGTTTTACTTCATACGCATCATTCAGGGCATTCTGCGTTGGCTGCGCCCACTGTACTTCTGAAAGATACTTGGCTGTTTCATATAAGTTCACCTTTACTATTTTTGTTCTTTTGCGATTTGGCTGCGATGTTTTCCTTGCCGCTTTTAAACCGTCCCATTTTGTGGCCTTGGAAGCTGAAATATGGCTAAGCGGCTTCTGGGGCACGTGCCACCCGATCTTCCGTACACTTAAACGGGTGGGATGTATTTTGGGATTTTCTTTTCGTTTTTTTTTTGTTTTTTTTTTGTTTTTCGTCCGGGCCAGTAAAATGTCGTATTTTACAGCATTTTCTCGCGAAATTGACGCATTTTACACTAGCCCGTCAACATCCCCAGCATCGTTTTCAACATCCCCCGCATGTCCGACCAACATCCCTAGCATCACCAACAAATCGTGGGTAACAAAATCCAAAAAAGTACCGGCGGGTTGACGGGGTCAAACAAAAAATGATTCAAGCAGGAGGGCATTTCAATCCCAGAAAAATAACTAAAAAGAACACATTTAAAACAACAACGGGGGGGAGGGGGTTGGGGGGGCTGCCGCCCATGATGGTCGCAGAAGTGATGATTCGAATAGGGGTGCAATTAAATCTCTGCAAAAAGTCTTAAAACTAGCGGGGGGGTTGGGGGGGGCGGCAGCCTCCCCATGATGTTCGAAGAATTGATGATTCAAGTAGGGGTGCAATGATTCAAGAAAGGGTGCGATAGGATTTAAAAGGCAGCGGGAGGGTTGGCGGGGGTGGCTTTTTTATGATGTTCGAAGAAATGCATACATACAGACATACATGGATTACACAGCTTACCTAAAATGTCGCATTTTGCAGCATTTTCTCGCGAAATTGGACGCTCGAAAAAGTGATGATTCAAACAGGGGTGCAATTCAATCTCTGCAAGAAATCCAAAAATAACGGAGGGGAGGCGGCAACCCCCCAACATGATGTTTGAAGAAGAGTTGATTCAAATAGGGGTTCTGCAAACAATCTAAACAGTAGCGGGTGGGTTGGGGGGGGGTGTTCCCCCCCATGATGTCCGAAGAAGTGATGATAGGGTGGTGGTGATGCTGAGGATGCGGGAAGCCAAATCCAAAAACCAATGAAAGGGCGCAAAAGCCAAAAAACCCGAAGGATGCGAAAAGCCAAAGCCGCCAAAAGCCGCCAAAAGCCGCATAAACCAGCGAAAAGCCGCAAAAGCCAAAACGCCACCTG